CTCCAAACCGTTCACCTCACCTCTGAGAAGAGAAATGCAGACTTGGGTCATTGGCTGGCGTCACCAACCTTCCGCAGTTCTTCGGAGAGATGAGAGAGGCAGCAGGCCCTCTTCCCAGTGGCCCAGCCTGTGGACAGATTCCCTTCCAGAGGTAAAAATCCAGGGGGAATGTAACACCTAAATGCACCTGTTGTTCTGCCGGTGGCGGCCCCAGCGGTAGCATATATTCAGCTCGTGGACACATCCCCGGAAGGATGAGTTCGAGCTGGTTCGTGAGAAAGTTGAACGTGCCAGACTGGCAAAGGGGAGAGAAAAACATTCTTATAGTAAGTTTGCTCTCCCTTCCGGGCTGGTCTACTTTCCTTTCTGTGTTCAGACAGCATCTGGTAATTAAATAATGAAAGCCAGGGCACGGCCTTGTCCCCAGTCTTGTCAATACACACCGCATTTTCCTGTAAGTCTTCTCTTCCCATGGAACACGTCCACCCTGCTCTTTACGACTGAGCACCCTGACTGAGTGAAGCGACCAACCTCCGCTGCGTTCCGAGAGGCGGCTGAAGGGAGAAGCGCACGCTTCCAGCAGCCAGCTGTACTCATCAGCTGTTAACGTACAAATGACGTCAGCAGACGCAGATCAACGGCATCGTAACATGACTTTTTCTATCTGGCAACGATCACCACAGATGGCTGGGAGAGGCATAAACTTTCCCCAAGCGGCTCCTTTCTGGCAAGCAACAGACTGCCCAGAAGGGTGGTTTTGTTAGAAATCAGTCAGGAAATGCCTAGGCACTGGGGGTTACACCCCGGGGGCTGAGTTACCCCAAGGTACACGGCCTAAAATACCGAGTTCTGGGGTAAGTGCAGCTCCTGTTGTCATCCCGACATGCTGGAGTAAATCACCTGTTGTAACATCTATTCTTTGAGCCTTTCTTTCCGCAAATGGATTTTCTTAAATCACACCTAGCTCCTTCTGACCCACCAACGCAAGGATAATGCTGAAGAAAAACACAGCTTTGGAATGGCTTTCACCATAGAATTAGCAGAGCTAACGAGCTCGCGAGTTCTTTCATCTGTGTCATTGTGGAGGTATAGAAATTATGGTTTGCCTGGTATGAAGCCTTTGTCTATTGACAAAACCCTCCGTATTAGGTTACATAATGCAGACTGTTTAACTAGCACAGAGAACAATACCTTAACACGATATGTTGTCCTAAACTCAATCGCAGACTGCTATTTCCTGGTAATTCAAATTTGTACTGGTAGGTGTCCTCTGTTAGCTGCTCCACCGAGCTTACGCTGAATGCAGTAAATGTATCTGGATTCAGCTCTGAATTACTGCTCTGCAAGAACAACAATAAATAATTACTTGGTTAGATGGTGCCTTTTATTATTTCATTTTTCTTTGGAAGCAAACGCGTGTGCTGATTTAGCGCCGGAGACACTCCAGAAGAACGCGTATTAAACGCTGGGGCCCGGCGCAAATTTCAGCCCTCTGCTCATTCATTATTGTGTTCTGCGGCACGCGCTCTGAGATCTCCCATTCCACCCACCCACCCCCTTTATAAATGACTTTTTTTTTTTTTACACCTTACAGCAAGGTCATCCTATTATGAGTCACCGCGATCGTTTTCTCACGCCTGGAAACAAACAAATAATGCTGCTAAAAGAGCTGAGCGCTGCTCTGGGGGCAGCTTTGAAACCTACGGATGACCGGTGCGACCAGGAAATACCGTTAGCTGTTTCAGCACCTGTCATTTTTGCTTGACCCAGCATAGTTAATGTTATGTAAAAGGGCCCTGACGAGCTTGAAATTACGCTACCGCACACAATGCGGCTTTCTTCATTCTCATTTACGAGTCGAAAAAACAGGGAAAGATGAAAAGGGTCAGGAAAATGGAGCTTCAACTGTCAGCGGAGAAATCCGTGACTCTTTGTACCATTCACCCATTCCCACTTTCCAGAGAGGCTGGCTGCCTGGGGTACCCCAGCAAAGAGAAGCTGCAGAGCCAGGGCTGTAATGCGACACCAGGGTGAACTCGACACTTGGAAAATCACATTACAGCAGGGAGAGAGCGGGCAAGGGGGAGGGTGGCTGTGAAGGCAGAGTTTGGGGAATTGCATTTACAGACGTCTCTTAAGGCACCGCTTTAATCTATCGCCGCATCCCTCGCCCATCACTGCAACCCCACACGCTAACAAGTACGATCAAAGCACTGGCTCTAGGATGTGATGAAGATAAATTGACCTGCTCCTTCTTTTCCATAAGGAGGCTTTTGTCTTGCTTTGCTTTGGCCCTTTCCCATTGTGCAAGCTCCTTCTCATACGCATCATAGATGCAGGGTTTGCAGCCGCTGCCGCAGCACTGGGATGGAGAAGGTTCCCGGGGTTTGTGCGCCAGCCAGTCGTCCTCATTTCCACTCATTGTCTGCAAAACACAAGCCTGGCATCAAGAACAGCACGATGAAGAGTGGCATGTGTTCATCAGCTGAGCATTATTTGGAGGAGGACTGAGAAATTGCGCTCGAGCATCTTACCCGTGGATCTCAGGGGACAAAGAAAACTGAAAACCTGAAAAACAATCTGGCACCTGCAACGCTCTGTTTTTGTTCAAGTGCCCACTGCCTCTGCCTTGGCCGGTGCGGGAATGCCAGACATTACAGCCACTGGCCCCGAGTAGCACAGCAGACCCCAGCCCAACCTCAGGCTCCGCTTCCCCGTTTAGCTGCCCAGCCAAAGCTACTTCCAGCAGCAGCTGGCATGCTTACTCCTGCTTGTTCTGACGTGGTGATCTCCTACAGAAGAGCAGCTTGGTCATCTGGAGCAGAAATGTCTTAAAAATCTGCAGCTCGGTCCGTGAGAAGAGATAAACCCTGACCGCCACGACATGGCCTGCTTCAAAGCAGGGGGAGGGCCCTGGTTTAAAGAAAAAAAAGTGGGGTTAGAGCCAGGAGACAAAGAGGCAAACATGGTAAAGTCACAGGCAAACGAATGAACAGTGGTTATGGACCGATTTGAGCCTGGCTTCACATGCAGACATGGCGAGGGCGCGAAGCACAGGCAGCACGGCCTCTACCCTCGGCCCTACCCGTGCTCCAGAGCATGCTGCAGGCAAACCCCTGCTCCCCGAGCCGAAGCCGTGACGCAGACCTCCCAGGGACCCTGCTATATGACAGCAGTCAGCTCCACGCTGTTCCCAGGGCATCTGTGTCTCTATCATTTGAACAAAAGGAGGTCCAGAGGAAATTACAAAGCCGCGGGTGACGATGCTGAGGGAGAGAACACTTCGCACCTAGAGCAGCTTCATTTCCAAGGTGAATTAATTAACTAACCTTCACCCCTGCAACACGAACACGTTAATTCTCGTGTTACGGGGAGGGGAAGAAGGAGGAACCAGAAGGCCGGCAGGTCCTGCCCCGAGCGGGTCCGCGGGCCCTGAGCACCCACAGCTCCTCTGAGGAAGACAACCCGGCCCAGGCGGCAGGAGGAGCCCAGAGTCCCAGGCTCGGGGCTGACCACATGAGGAGTTTCGCACTTCCGGAGCGTGCCCGCCGGCTGGGGCAGAGCGACCCCGGCCCCGCAGCGCCCAGCCCGGGCAC